CCTCAAGGTTCTTCTTCTTCTTATTATTATTATTATTAATATTATTGCTTCAGTGATGACGTTATTATTGGTTCTGAGCCGACTATTGTTTTGTGTCACAGGTCCGACACGTATAACGAACAGCGCCCCCTATAGTCCGGTGATGTTCCTGACAGAGTCGATGGGGAATCTGACGTCACCAAACTTCCCCGCGCCCTACTACAACCTAGAGGTACGTACAAAATACGGTGTATGAAACACAGTGTATGAAACACGGTTGAATTAGGAATACAGAGCTTTAGTGCTGGTGAGCGTGTGGATCGTGAGATCCATGAGCTGTCTTTTTTAATTGTCACCTGGGAACGTACGCGCTCGCTCGCACATGCATGCACTCGCACGGGCACGCGTACACGCACACGTACGCACGCACGCACACTTAGACATGGCAAGAGAGAGAGAGATAAATAGAGAATGAGAACGAGAGAGAGGGGGCGAGAGAGGGAGAGGGGGAGAGAGAAGGGAAGAGAAAACTGGGAGGGAGGATGAGAGAAAATGAGAGATCGTGTGGGCGAGAGAGTGGAAGAGAAAGACTGAAAGAGAGAGGGGAAGAGAGAGAGAGAGAAAGAGACGCACATACACAGACGCGCGCACGATGCATACATATATATGACGTCAGTCTGACGTCAACACTCGTGACGTAAGCGATCGCTGGTTCTCACGTGACTGCTTCCCTTCCCCCCACCCCCACACCCCTACAGTACTGTTGTATGCCCCCTACAGGACATGCGCTGGGTGCTCATCGCTCCGCCTGGTCACGTGATCGCCATCACTCTCATCGGCGAGGATTTCTACCTGGAGAAGGATTACGATTACCTGCTGGTCGGCGACGGCAACCTGCTCGAAAACCCCATCATGAACATCACAGGTGCGCATGCGCAGCGGCGACAGCACGTCACCTCAGATATGCTACATCTTCTCAGCGTTGATTTCAATGTTGATCAATTATCTATCGATGTCTATTAGATATCTATCATTTTTTTATCAGGTATCTATCGATATCTGCTAGATATCTATTAATGTTTTTCATATATCTGCTAATGTCGTTCATATAGCTATTAATGCCAATCATATGTCTAGTAATGTCTATCAGATAGCTATCAATGTGTATTAGATATTCATCAATGTCTATCAGATATCTATCAATGTTTATTGGATATCTCTCAATGACTATCAGATCTTTATCAATGTTTATCAGATATCTATCAATGTTTATCAGATATCTATCAATGTTTATCGGATATTTCTCAATGACTATCAGATATCTATCAATGTTTATCGGATATATATCAATAACTATCAGATATCTATCAATGTTTATCAGCTAACAATCTCTCAGTGTGCCGTTAATACCTTCACCATCCCTGGTATCGTATTCACAAGTTCTATACACCCGTGTGGCCCTTCACTCTGCAGCCCCCATAATCTCTCTCTATGACAGAGTGAAGGGGTTACACATGTGACAGGTAGAGCTAGTTTACTGACAGCTAACATGTCTACATAGTACTGTCTCAGCGGTAATACATTACGAGAACGTCAGGGGAATGTGAAATAGGCAGCAATACGATTAAATCAAGACTTCATACATCAAAAATATTTCCTACTTGACAAAGTTCACCTGATTTCTCTCGCGTGTAGCTTGATGTGTGACACTGATGGTGTCAGGCGCTTCAACCAGCATGCCCGCCGGCTCTCTGGTTGTTTTCATATCTATACTATAGTATGTTTCCGTTTCGCATGCTGATCGTGTAGCTTCAAATGTAGGACAACTCTACAATCGCGGAGAGAAGAAATCAAAATTTAATGTGTTAATCAACTTCTTTTAATTATATATATGAGAAAGGAGAGACTCAACCCTGTTCTGCTTCCCTTATAGACCCGGTATGCCTCATAAGCTCCTCTCCTTATGAAGGAACACTCCGATCGACTGCGCCGGCTTGTGTCCGTAACCATTCGGCGTATATGGACGCTGGTAGACGCGTCAGGTCAGGACTAAGTATATGCTCTCTCTTATACAGCTTGGTCATCCCTGTAACAAAGACATGTACATGAAATATATATATACTATAGTCATGTGAGGGACGATATGCAGTGATAGGAGGAATGTATAATATATAAGATAATCTTTATATTATACACTCCTGTTGATGAGTAGAGTACCATATACACAGAGTCATCGGTGCTATCACAGTTATATGTAACAACGTAGAGATATTCTCTATCTCCTATAGGTATCCTCTATGTTACGTACTTCTCCGGTTACTGTCTTTCATTGCTGATATTAACGTTTTTATAATTAATATCATCGTAGGTAAATAATAACTTGAGATTAACAGGTTTTCATTACTACAGGTTTGACTATATATATTATATATAT